GTCATTGCAGTTTATGCACGCCATCAAGTAGGCTAAGATTGTATTGAGCAAATTTTCAGGGTTTGGGTTTGCATAAGCTTCAGGTTAACATTGCTCAACGTGCTATGCAGCTGCTTGCAGTAGATGGTAAATTTTTCTGATTTTATCATTTTTAAAATTATTTTTTGGGAGTATATTTCAATATTTTCACAGCTTTTTTTTATGCAATGGATTGTCATTTTGTTGTGCTGATAGGGAAATGGGATAGGGAAAAGGTTAAAGTGTCGAAATGTCATTCGAAATGTTACATTTTCTATGTTACATTGTTACATTTTCGTCTTCAATTATTTCTTTTTCATAACAGGTATTATGGTATATTCAACATGTTCCTTAAATCCTATAGAAAACGAAGCAGTTATTGCATCCATACTTCGTTCAAGCGCTGGTGCCTTAGAGCTTGTTGATGTTTCTCAGCAGTTGCCTCAGCTGAAACGAACATCGGGACTTTCAAAGTGGAGGGTAATTGAATCGTTCTTTACTGTGCATTTGGTTGACTGTAGTTAGTTTCTACAATATCATTTTTGTTATTAACGCATTAATAAGAGAATGTTTTCAGGTATTTGATAAAGCCATGCATGAGTACAGTATTCTTGAAGATGTGGTCACTGACCAAAGACGATACTTTACTTCGTCGATGTTTCCCCCAAACGACGAAGAAATTCAGAAGTTTCATTTGGAACGCTGGTATCTAGTATAAATTTTTAGATACAAAGCTAGTTTGCCATAGCTCTCTCCCAAGATTTCTTACATTTATTCATGATTAATTTGAAATTCACAAAGATGATATACATTATCCCAATACAAAATGCGAAGTCAATAACTACAACAGTAAAATCACAATCAGTTTTACAACAGTTTCGAAGATTTAATAAGTAGATATTATATCTGCTGTAGCAAAACACAATTACAACAGCTCTTCATCTACCCGGTTGTTAATGAGCTTCTCCCTAAATAGTGTCAATTCTTGCCGAAATAGCTCGTGCTCCTAAAAACAACGAACTAATTTCGATAGATCCTTCGTGGCTAAGGAACAGTTTTTCTCGTTTATATCTTTTCATTTCCAGATTCTGCTTTTCAGTTTCCGGGTATTGCCGCATATGCAAAATACTGGGGGATTTTTTGTTGCAGTATTGAGAAAATCCAAACCTCTCAACCAGTCAAAGCTTTCCTTCAAGTAAGTTTTTCTTTTTTAATTATGTAATTCTTGTGTAGAATGGTATCTGCGTGGATGCATAGTGAACACAGTAAGTTTATCAGAATTAATTTATTTAAGTAGTCATCCGAAAACTTTTCAAGTCTGTTTTTCCAAAAACTGAAGCGGTTACAGACCAGCGTACAATATGAAAGATTACAGACAAGCATATAACATTGTTATTCCATGAATCTGATGAAGTTTTCGGAGGCTTTTCAGCTTGCCATCAATGAAAAGACGTCGAACATTCAAGGAAGATCCGTTTGTATTTCTTGAAAAAGACGATACTAGATGGAAAGATATTGCGTTAGTTCACAATAACAGTGTAACCCCGATAACATTTGAGCTTCTATTTCTGTTCTTCTAAATTTGACTTGTTAGACGTGGAATTATATATTGGATTTTTAAACCCAAAGACTTCTTTGTAAACAGGAGAACAAAATATTCTATTTTTCAACTGAAACAATTTTTCAGTGATCATTACGGTGTATCGGAAATATTCCCATACCAGAATCTTTTGGGCCGGACAGCTGAAGCAAATAAGAAACGGACCTTATATTTCGTAAACAGTGCAGTTAAGCAGTTCCTGCTCTGTAATCAAGATAAGGTGGCTTTTTGATTTCAGGGTTTGCTTTTATCTCCAGTCAATTTCGATTCCCATTTTTTCGAAATTGATTACGAACAAAATTGGAATTTAGTTCTGTTTTTTCGAGAGTTGATATTTTGAGGTGAGCAGCATCAGCGATCGGTTCGGTATCGATTTCTTATGTATATAATGATAGCTCAGTTAATTCCAGATAAAAGTGATCAATGCAGGGATTCGTATGTTTGGGCGAGTTGAAAATAAATATAACTTATGTCGATTTCGGATAATGCAAGATGTTGGTTTTCCATGAAGCTGTAATGTCCTTCCAATTTCCAAGTGTATTTTATTGAAAAGGAAATTCTTTCTTCCGAGACAAATAATAACAAAACTAATCAAATTTCCTAGGGTATCAGAACAATTTTGCCGTATCTGCGGAAAAGGGTCGTTGGAATCAGCGTAGAAGATATGTGTAAAATTCTAAAAGCTGAAAATGGAAATGGGAACTGTCCAAGAGATGAACTGGCATGTGCTGAAAAATTCCACAACATTTCATCTGGAAGTGTCGTACTTGTATCAGAATATAATGGGTATTTTCTGTTGATTTCTCTAAATTATGTTTCCCATCGGAACTGAAATAATACATACGTGCGGAGGTTTGAATGCTGTAAAATTCCTTCCAAAACATTTAGTATTGTTAGGTTTCTAAATTTCGATCATTCCCAATTTATTTGCTTTCTTAAGCACTCGTTTGAAATTTTTAATCAACTGCGTATTTTTTAGACTGAAACAAGTTGTTTGTGCGTGGATGGGAGCCAGAAGTATTACACCGTACGTTAGTAGAGAAGAAAAGATTCATACATTACGTTTGCTCAGCTGCGACACCTCTAATTTTGGTTTATTTTTTTCTTTTCTCTTTCTTTTTTGTCTTTATTTCTTTTTCTGTTGAAATAAGCAGTGGTTAAATTACCATCATTATTAGTGAATAGTAGAATATGAATAAAGGAATTAATTGATAGATAATAAATTTTTTTAAGAAAGAATCATGTGGACGAAACGGCAGTCAAAAGCAGTTTATGATAGGGAGGAGGCAAAGAAACGCAGAATTTTAGAAAAATCAGATCGAGGGGAAGGAGAACAAAGAAAATTAAGTAGTGGCTAATCAGAAAAATAAAAAATAAAAAAGGGAAGGAAGCCAAGTCATGGTGAGCTCAGCGAGACGGAGGATATGGTACAAAGTATTTAAATACAAAGTATTTAAAAAGTGTAACAAGTTGTTAATTCACTGAAAAAACTCCCTCCTTTTTTATTGTTTTCGTTCTATGTGAGAAGCATTCATTTGTCCTCCTGATCTTCGGTATCGAAAAAAGTGCAGAGATACTCTTAATGTTTCTTCCATATAATTGTTGTTAATTTGTTAAACTTTTAATTTGATCTGTAATATGTTGAACAGTTGGTATGTTTGAATAAAGATACAATGGGATTGCTCACCTAATGAACTACCTGCTTAGTTTTATTCTTACTATTTTATTATCACTGTGACTATTTCAGATTGGTAGCCATGTTAATACCCTTTTAATCGTACTTTTAATTGTGCTTTTTTTACAGTTTAATTTGAGTATCGAACATGATTTAGTTACTCTTCTAAATTTAGTTACTGCTCTAGTGATTAATAGTTGTTTAATATTATTCGGTAACAGTTTCAGTTTACTATGGCAAATTTTAGATGAAACGAGCAGGACCTACAGATGAATTGTTCAAGAAGTTGACTTTTGGCATCAAGAAAAGTCGGCTAGAGCAAAGAAAGGAAGGAAGTAGGTTACTGACTTTAATCAAAGCCGTGATTGTATGGGCATTAAAAAGGTGGAATTTCATTTGCACATAGGTTATAATTGAGGTTGACTTACTAAATCAAATTTGAACGTTGAAATGGGGTTAGGAAGTTGACTGTGAAATAGTGATTTGTAGTCAGAGATGAATTTCAGCAGATCATGGCTTATTGCTCAAACGGATACTGCCAGATAATTGCAAAGAAGGATACAAGCGAAATACAAGAACAAACAACGAGGCAAGCAGTTTAATAACATCCGGCGAAGGTTATCAGTTTTCTTGAATGGGAGAAAACTTTTTTGATTTGTTTGTGCCAGTAGTTTGACTGATATATAAACGTGTGTTGGGTTTTCAAAATTGCTAAAACTGTAAGATTCCAAAAATGTTTCTTGACTATCGTAATGCTTTTTAAATTTTTACTTCATATGCTGGGTGAAATTGAAAAATTGCTGGAAAAATGTATTTAAAGAGGGGGTTGAATTTCAGTGGCTTACTGCTCGAACGGATACTCTAGAAATAGCCTTTGTAAAGCGTAAATCCATTTTATTTGTGTTTTATCATGAAAATTATTTGGTGCTTGTCTGACCCATTATTCATTATTCAGTACGTGCTATTTGTTACATTGTTTTAACTTCTCTTTTCAGGACCTGTAATTCTTGGAGGACTTGAGAATGTTTCAAAAAAGAAAAAATGCAGAAGTCTGGCTGTAAAGAGAGAACAGGTGAATATCTGTTCCTTCTAGGAAATTTTCAATAGACCATAATTTAATCTATCTCAGTTTTTGAGGTTATCGATGTTTAGATTGCACATTTACGCAAATTAAATCGCATCTTCGTTTGGGGCAATAATATACCTGATCCTGTGATACATTTTGCCGGAATCGATGGATTACCGCGAGAACTTATCAGTAATTTAGAAGAATTTGGTATCACGGAACCAACTCCAATTCAGATGCAAGCCATTCCAGTAATGTTGCAGAAAAAAGACTTATTATGTAGCGCTCCGACAGGCTTGTTTTTTTTAAGAATTTTTTTCGGGCAATCTTATTTTTTCAATCTTATTTTTTCTGCCTTTCTCGAGTTATAGTTTTTATTGCTACATTAGCCAAGGAAGTTAATTCTGGTAACGAAGAGCCTGTCTTTTTTAGGGTCTGGAAAGACATTAGCTTTCGCTCTTCCGATCATTTTTGATGTTGTACGCTGCAAAAGTCATACAGCAGAAGATCAGTATCCTATGTTAAATGCTGTGGTACTTGAACCAACTTATGAACTTGCTAAACAGGTCCTTTGACACTAATGTTCTTTCACAATTGAATTAAGACTTCTATTCTAAAATCATTTTTTTCAGACATACATCCAGTTCCTAAAATTTTCTCAGAACCTGCCTGTTTCATGTTGTTTCTTAGAAGGAGACGAAATCCCGGAAAATGGTATGTGAATCTGTCTTGTTTTAAACCTATAAATTTGTGTTCTCCCTAAATATTTTGATCATTTTGAGTCTAAATCAGTATTAACTCCTTGTTGTTTCTTTTTCATTGATCCGGTTATTATAATTGCCTGAAGAAGATCGTCTGTCGATAGTTACTGATCTGGAATTACTGGCAATGGACTTTTTAGAAAGATAAAGTTCATCGTTTAAACTGATTACGAGTCTTTGTTTAGGGGACTGTACAGTCACTTTGTTAATCTCCCTTGACTAATACTTTTAACTCTCTTACAGCAAACATAGTCATTTCAACACCAAATAAACTGGTTCATGCTTTGAAGAAAAACAACAAAATATCGACTGGATTGAATTGGCTTATTATTGATGAAAGTGATCGACTTTTTGATACTACGGAAGGAAATGACAGATGTTTTAGGAATCAGGTGAAAGTAATTGTACTATTTCAAGCATGATCCAGATTTAAAAATTGCCAGAGCTGCTAACTGATATTGCTTGGTTTCATGACGAATATAAATTGTTTGCAGTTTGCCACGATATATCAAGCATGCAATGGAAATTCTGTGTGTCGTGCTTTTTTTAGTGCAACATTTTCATATGAAGTTGAAGATTGGTGTAAAAGGAATCTCTGTGATATGGCAATGATTTGTATCGGCTCACGGTGGGGATATCTTTCATTTCGTTGCTCTTTCTGCAATTCTTCGTTGAAATTTTGTGAAACCATTTTGCTGAAGTTTCTAGAATTTTTAAGGTTAACTACCCAACCATTTAAGGTCTTTTTGAGTTCTTGCAAATTTAATTATGGGTGAAATTTGAAATTGTTGTTGTTATCAAAAGAACTATTTCCATTTTGCCTCTAAATGAGGGCTAGTATTATAAAATTTGCAAATAAAATGGTTTTAGAAATTCAGCAGTTAGCAGCGTGAAACAAGAGCTAATTTTTGCTGGATCGGAGCATGGTAAAATTATAGGTCTAAAAGCATTATTTCAAAACAGTTTCGAACCTCCGGCGCTCATTTTCGTGCAGGTTTTCCAATTCTCAACCTTTTTTTCGTGCTTTCGAGAATAAATCTTTTTAGCTGAAGATACTTTGCTTCAGTATCTGTCCGCACCATTCATATTTTACATAAATGGGATTTAAACTTTCTGACCGAATGAATAGTGATTTTAGGATTGCGACTATTTTTAAATCGTATCTGTGTTGCATAATTTTTTTTAATATGATAATAAGATTTTTTAACAGAGTAAATTGCGAGCAAAACAGTTGGTGCCAGTCATCGAATCACTTCAACCGCCAATCCCAGTAAAAATGATTTCAAGTGAAAAGACAGAGACTGAGGTTTGCAATGTTTTTAATTTCAAGTTACTTTCGATATAACCCTGTTTATCTGTTGTTAATTATTGCTGTGTAGTACTTCATTAAAAGAGATTTCCATTTTGGGAAATTGATGTGCTTTTGTAGCGTGAGTCTGCAATTGCCGAATTTCGCAGTGGACACATTTGGGCTTTAGTTTGTACTGATTTGATGGGTCGCGGATTGGATTTGAGTGGAGTAAATCTAGTGGTCAATTTTGATCTTCCAACATCGATTATCAGCTATATTCATCGAATTGGTGACATTTTTGTTAAAGTGAAGGGTAGCATAAAGATTTGCATAGATGTTTAATAAAAGCAATCGCATAACTTCCTTTAAATAGTATACCTTTCTTATTTGTCAAGTTGAGATTGGTATCATTGAAGTTCATTTTTTAAAAGTGCTTTACAATTGTATTGTTTCTTTCAAAAGGTGTGCAGTTTTCTCAAGAAGCCTTGATTTCAACAATGTGATTTTCAGTAATTAAATAATTCATTAAATCTTGGTAAATAGGTCGGACAGGACGGGCTGGGCGAAAAGGACATGCAGTTACATATTTTACCGAAAGTGATTTGAACTTCATTCGTCCAATAGCAACAGTCATCAAGCAAGCTGGTTTTGAAGTTCCAGAATATACTTTAAAGATGCGAAAGCCAACAAAGTAATTTTCTTGCGTAGAACATCCTATTTTTTTATAATTGTAGCTAGTTTTGGCAATTTAATTTTTTTTCTTGACAATTTAAATTCCATACTGCTGTCATTTCCAGGAAAGAGAAGAAAAAATTATTGAGACATGCCCCAAAACGAAAAAATATTGGATTTGTAAAGAAAGCAGACGAAAAAAGAGGGAAAGATGAGAAAGAGCCAAGACGAAAGAAGGAGGCGGTTACTTAGTCGCATTTCATTTTCTTGTTTTTGTTATTCCGTTTGTTAAACTTATTATTGAATTATGTTTAATTGGAACAAATTCTAAACATTATTAAGTACCCTGTTTTACTGCTTGAATACTTCATATTGTGCTGTATTTTGCAGCTATATTATATATTAGCACTATTAAACATTGTTGGAAATATTTTTATGCCAGAATCTGTTGTAAAAAACAGTTTTGTTAATTATTTTCGACAATTTTCTTTTGTTAGAACACTTGGATATATCGGTTATGTATTATCCGTTTTGGCTATTCCGCATTGAACATTTTTATTTTTCTTCGGAATAGTTCCGGTCAAATAAGCCAGTGACAGAGTTTCGTCAAGATACTGACGTTAAAATGACTGTAGAATTAGAAAAGAGACTTAAAAATGTTAAAAATAATGCTTGACATGTATTTGCTTCTCACTGTTGTTCTGGAACCTGTGTAAGATAGCCTGTTCAGCACTGAATATGGATTTTCTAGATTTAAACTTGCCAGCGTCACACTAGTTGTCATGTAGTTAGCAAGTCCTAAAATCTAGCAAATCAAATCCATTTTCTCATCAAATCCGTTTTGGTCTGAAAGAATTGAGCGCGAAAATAAATATGGCTCGAAAGTATGGAATTAGAACATAGCGGGAGGTGTATTTCACAAGCTTATGTTGGAAGATTTTCCTGGAATTGGCTGTATTTTATTGCCGTCTCGATTTCCGGTCACTCTGTTTTTAATCTAAATCTAGATTAAGTTTATGTACAATACATATGATGAGTATCAAAGCAAAACTGGATTCCTCCGTAACGGTGCTTACTTCCGGTACGGTTTTTCTGAATCTAACTTTTCTGCATGCTCTCCTTCGGACAGCAAAAATTTTGGAAGCGCTTGAATCTTCCCTCGCCTCGGTCATATCTGATGTTTTGTCTCAAGGTCTTGCGTTGAAGTAAGATTAATAATAGACTGTATAATTTTTGTCAGGGTTTCTAAAATTATTTGAAAAACTTCTAGTTTATTTGGCAGGAAACAAAGATTTGGCATTGAAATTGGTGCCTAGCAGCACCTGAATTTAGCCATACGTCTGCACCTCTTAATTTCTGTAATACAAGGATTTTCAGTCACATTGACAGGTCGCGATAGAGAGATGAGCATCTGAGTGGATATTTGATTTCTCACTATACGGATATTGTTTTCGTTTCAATTACTTTATAATGTTTTGGTAGCTTTTTTCTCTGAATACTACTACTGATTATGTTAAGACAGCAGGCACAATTGTCTCTCAGATTACGAGTGAACGATCAGATTAATCACTTGAAATGTCAGTTCGCTCTCCGTTCCTGTTTTCCTTCTCACTAGGATGATCACTCTGTCGAGGATGTTCTTTCGTTGTCTTTAATTTTCAAAAATTTTTACCTCTTGGAACAACGAATCGTGGAAGATAAACAACAAGTATTATCAATTTCTTCTCCCCGTTTTTTCCTTACAACATTGACCATTGCTGTATTGCTTCATTGTGCATGTATGATAACATTATGTGTATATTCTTGTGCATAATTTTAAGTTGATTAAGTACCTAAGAGATATAAGCTGCAGGTGTTAATGAACAAGTCTGAAAGACGAAGAAATTTACAAGCAGTGGATTAAAACAACAAATAACGAGCAATCTACTACATAGTATTCACAAGCAATTTGTAGTATTCTGTTGTCTTCCTGATGTTTGGTTACAGATAGAGG